TATTATTATTATAATTATTAATATTATTATAATTATTATTATGATTCCGATAATCAAGGCCGCATGTCCAGATACATGATGGAACTTAAGTCCTTTTAAATCATGATGACCTTCTTTTAACAATTTTAATTCGTTTCTTAACTTATCCATTTCTTCTGTTTGGTTAATTAATGGTACTGTTAATGGATTCAAAACAATTTTTGGTATTTTGCTTATATTACTTATATAAAATGATGAAATTGGCTCGTAGCTTTCTGTTGGAATACTGTGATGAGGTACTAGTATTTTATCATCGGTTCGCACAGTACAACCATGTATTATTGTTAAAATTCCTTGTTGCGGAAGATCTATTAGTTCTTGATTTGAGTTACTACATTGAAATCTAGCATTAGTGTTTACTGGAACTTTGAAGAGCCAACTACCCTGTCTTTCTAATTCGACCCAAAATGACCATGTCTCTGCTATCTTCCTATAAACGCAATTTGAATTACCTTTTACTACTACGAGTACTTCTGGTCTCTTTTGGAGTCATTCCTGAGTCTTGCTCTTCTGACTCGATTCCAGCTAATGGACAAATTCTAGTTATAGGTCGTTTTATCAACCCGTCTTTATGTTTTATAGTTACTACTCTGACTCTATCGTCCCTACCTTTATGTATTTCTTCTATTTTTCCCAAGGGCCATCTAGCTGGGTGACAGGTTTCATCTTTTATTAATACAATCTGTCCTGTTTTAATATTCTGCATTCCTATTTTCCATTTATTTCTTTGCTGCAGTGTGTGCAAATAATCTTCTTTCCATTTAATCCAAAATTCTCTTTTCATTTTCTGAATTAATCTCCATCTATCCAGATTCCCGATTTTTTACTCTGAAATTGTCTCAATCGGGCCAAATATTGGCCTTCCAATTATAAAATGACCTGGTGTTAATACATACAGATCGTCAATATCATTTGTAGCTGTATACAAAGGGCGTGAATTTAGTACCGCTTCAATTTGACATAATAGAGTTGCCATTCCCTCATAGGTCAAATTATTGTCCCCGATTAAGATCAATAAGTGATATTTCACGGATTTTACCCCAGCTTCCCAAATACCTCCGAAGTGAGGTCCTGCCGGGGGAATAAAATGCCACTCGATCTGTTCTCTTTCTAATATTGGAATCACTTTTATGTTGTCTTTGAGGGCTTTTCGGTATTCCTCGTCTAATTTGCGCGAAGCTCCCACAAAGTTGGTTCCATTATCGAAAAATTTTTTTGCACATTTTCCTCTTCTTGAAAAAAAATCTTCTAAGTGCAGCTAGAAATGCATCTGAAGTAAGATCGCTGACTACTTCCAAATTAATAGCTTTTGTCGCCATGCATACGAATATGGCAATATATCCCTTATAGGATTTCTGCCCCCGGTTTTTAGAGCATCGGATATGGTAAGGCCCGGCAAAGTCTACACCTGTATTTGTAAACGGGTGCGACATTGTAGCTCTGTGTTTCGGCAGATTTCCCATAATTTGTTCTGCAGTATTCTGTCGATACCTAGCACAGGTGACACACTCTTTAAGTTTTTTCTTTAAGCAATTTCTTAGCCCAAATATCCAAAACTTTCGCTGGATATAGTTTCGCATCAGATTAATTCCACCGTGCAATGTTTCTTTATGTGCATTCTTGATAAATAAAGACGTCAAGTGACACTTATCTAAAATCAAGGGATCAATCAAGATCTCAGAGACTATAAAAGCTAGAGCAACCAAATTTGGTATCCACACTCCCAAGATATCGGACCGAGACGAGTTTGTTTCAAAATTTCGCCACACCCCCTTCCGCCCCCGCTAAGGATGCAAATCTGGGGATATTCACAAATCTCAGAGACTATTAACGCTAGAGTAACCAAATTTGGTATCCACACTCCTGTTAGAACTCACTATTAAACGTATATCTCGCCCCACCCCCTTCCGCTCCCACAAAAGAGGAAAATCTGTGGCATCCACAATATTGAAGATTCGAGAAAACTAAAAACAATCATAGAAAATGATGATCTCATCCATATCTATCAGATTGCTGAATCTGGATCAGATCCGGATAATTTGTATAGCCAAAAGGAACAAATCAATTTGCAGTGGCTACGCAGCGTCTGACGTCACGCTCAGACTGATTTTCTGTCTCTCTCGCACGCACTCTTTGTCGTGTCGTTCGATAGAAGCGGCGTCTGCCGGGGGAGAGCCATACTGACTAAGTATCGGGTATAAATGTAGAGATACGGTCTCCGCAGCAACTCACAACGTTGCCCCTCGTTTTTTAATTTAATTGCGCGTCGAACGCGCAACATTGATAAGTGCGTTGAACGTTCCTTTCACGTGACCACGCGAATTGTATGAGACGAAATATTATACCGTTAACCTGGACATTATTGATTGATTTTATGCGGTTTTGGATCGTGTACGTCGGCAGGATCACTAGGGGAACTGCATGCCTTAACCAACACAGGAAGAGTGCGTCCAACGACACTAGAGGAAGCTATGGAGCTTTACCAGATTGGTCGGTTTTTAGAGATTGATATTTTGGCGCAAGGCTGTGAGGATTTAATACTCGAGTAGCTGTCCCTTGATACTTTACCAACAATTTTAAAGTGGGGTTGCCAACTCCATGGCTCCGCGTGGGTGTTTAGACAAGCATGTTAGTACCTACGAGAAGAATTTACCGTTATTAGCACCTCACCTGTCCTGCACCAAATAGATAAAACGCAACTGCAAAGTAATTTTTTAACCAGCTCCTAAGCTAGAGATTCTGCGGGCTGTTCTTAAATGTGGAGAACAGGAGCTCATTAGCCGCATGGAAGATCGTGAACCAAACTTTTTGTGATTTGAGTGATGTAGAGTTGCGAGACATCATCGCAGAATTATTGCCTTTAGTGCGCATAGACCATGTTTTACCACCTCATAGTGAGATACTCTGCCAAGCAATTCGTAGAGATCTTGTCAGCACTCCACCTTCACATATGATATGTAGTGGTAGTAATCAGGGACTCTTTGTTGAAGGATCGATTATCTTCATCTCACCACCAGGTGGAACTAATGCGTATGCGTAGGTCGCGACACCCGCCAGATATTCCTGATACCTTGAATATGGTGTCCCACATGAATGCAGCGGCTAATAATGGACTTTGTAGTGTTGTTAATCGTGGTTCTATTCATGAAAATATTGAAATGTCGGTAGGGTCGGCTGTTATACCAGCACCGGATAACCAAAATTTATTGGCAATGCGTAAACGCGAAAATAAACTTCGCCAGTCACCTATGTGCCAGCATGCATTGCTACTGCCACTTTCATCAAAACATGAAATTGAACGACAAATTCGGCTTCCTCCCTGATGAAGTATCAGCCAGAAAAGCTATGATGTTCACAAAGGAAATCCGTGTGGAGTTGCGTCCACTACTCAAAGCGAAGACAATTTGCTTGAAGATGAAGATCAAAGCCCACCGCCATCACCAGCGGCTACTGGCTCAGTTCCGCGAAACACAACCGTTGGATCTTCTTTTTTATCGTCCTCGTCAATGGGATCGTCAGCATCATAAATCTGTGGCACCGATGGAGTACACCCCTAATATAGCCGAAATCTCACTTTTCCGCGTCACCAATCAAATGGTCTTTTTGGTGTAGCCAGTATTTTAGCAACCAACTCTGGTCCTGCGCTTCAGTGTAGCTATGCACGTATTTCAGCGTCAGCGCGTCCACGAAATGAACTGCCGGCGTTAATAACTGAAGGGGACTTTCGATTTCCGCATGGAAATAGCTTGGGCTTGGATATTAGTGTTGAGAACGGCGGAGAATGGCCACCGCATCTTTAGGTCAGCTTCATTTGTCGAATAGTACTGGAAATACTAGCGGGCGTAGCGTCGGCAGCAATAACGACATGCCAGAAAGTTTACAATTAGATTTGGGGGATGGTCCAAACCCTCGCGTAGTTGGAAACGTTCTAAGTGCACTGACCCTGTGAAGTATACACGTTAGTATTTCCTTCTCGGTATTTATCCTAAAATAAAAATTTTCCATTCATTTTAGCACGCTCTGCCACAAAGCAACTATCACCGCTTCGTGCAGCGCTCTAGCTCGCCAATTGATATGATGCGTAATGGACAGTTATCGCCCACATCACACCCTCCAAATCCTGGGCCATTCAACTCTGGACCACCCAGGTTTTTATAGAGGTTGCAAGTGGGCCCAGATCCGGGGCACTTTATTTTGGGATGCCTTTCTGAACAAAAATTAAACTAAAAATGTAATTTAACAATCTAGATAAATAAAATAAACTATTAAATAAAGCTTACGGAATTTTTCTCTTCGGCAAGGGCTTAAAATTAGATAGTATGTATAATGTTAAAAATACTTAAGTATGTATATTATCTCTGGTATTTGCGAAGAAAAAAAAAGCTTAAGTAATTTGTTTATTACATCTGCAACCCTTTTGGACCTTTGTTACTCGTTAACCCTAGTAGTTGGCAGATTACAACACACAATAAATTGACCTTCCTTGCCAAATCCAACCCACCATAAACTTAAGTCGTCGAATGCTTTACCCGTTTAATCTGTCGAAATGTATAAAGTAGCTAGACTCAAGATACCTCTTGGTCATATGGTCATATATTTCAGATGTTTTAGATTTTATATAGAAAGATATCTCTCTAGTGAAAGGGAGGTACTGAAGTGGTGTATCTTTCAGCGTCTGGCTCGAATTGGGAGTGTGAGATCGCTCCCCTGCGGTTGGCCGAGTTTTTTTCGTTCTATCAAGTTCCACCAATAGACTGAGCAAGACAAACAAAATAAATGTATCGGACCATATAGTCTGGAAGTGCCAGCTGAAGTTATATACATATGTATATTAATGAATGCAGGTTTCAAGCCAGCCAGATCCAAAGCGGACGGAAGAAGGCGCCGACGCCGTCTCGTAGCGCAGAAGGGGAGCGGCGCTCGATCAGCATGGCCAAGCCGAGATAGGGGTGGGCAAAGCCATGAAGCTGCGGATGCAGCACGCCAGAGATTTCAACTTTTTCGCTTACACGTACACTGAGCCCAGTCTGTCTGTCCGTCCCTATTAGCGCCTAGTGCTCAAAGACTATAAGAGCTAGAGTATCGACATTTTATATCTAGACTTCTGTGATATGTCACTGTAACAAGTATATTTCAAAATATTGCCCCGCCCACTTCCGCCCCCACAAAGGGCGAAAATCTGTGGCATCCACATTTTTAACGATACGAGAAAACTAAAAACGCAGAATCGTAGAAGATGTCTATATCTTCTAGAGTGTAAAATCTGAATCAGATCGTATAATTATTATAGCCAGAATCAAGAAAACAATTTCATTCTTTCTCGTTCTGTCTCTCTCTAACACACAGGTTTCATGGTCGGTTTTGCCTGTTGCAAAATGTGAGTTTAAGGATCTCAGAGACTATAAAAGCTAGAGCAACCAAATTTGGTATCCACACTTCTGTGATATCAGACCTTTTCGAGTTAGTTTCAAAATTTCGCCCCACCCTTTTCCGCCCCCACAAAGAACGAAAATCGGTTACACCCACAATATTAAAGATTCGATAAAACTAACACAATCATAGAGAATGACCATATCTATCCGGTTGCTGAATCTGGATCAGATCGGATGTTAAGACCTTAAAAGAAAAGTCTAGACATTTGCGAGTTGAGTTGTAAATTCAAACTAAATTTTATTCTTAAAATCAGAGCCTTATATGTGATTTGACAATGAGGTAGGAGGTACAATTTGGTAGTCTATAATTATCGTTAGACCTACGCAGAGGATACACTTTACTGAGGGTGTCTATTTGAATACATGCTTACATTAGTTTTATTTTAGGACCGCATTTGTTAAGTGTTTTCTCCACTTGTGTTTGTCGTATTAATGGGTTACAGATCTCTGTTTACACCCGTGCAGTCATAACTTGTCTACTTTATGTGATTTCTTTAGAGATCGGTGTTGTTACATGAGTGAATGTGTACAATAATCTATTAATGTTTAAACATTCAGCAAGGGGCCGAAAGTGGCATTGTATTGACGATAATATGTTCATGTTTGAACATTCTGCAAAGGGCCGAAAGTGGCATTGTTTTGTATTTTGATTCTTGTGAACCTTTTTGTGTACATTTTCTTTATTGCTATAATTACAAGTACAGATAATCATTTACAGTCAATTACAGTGGGTAGGGAAGTGCTATCGTTTGCAGTCTTCGTGCTACTTTAATTCTTCTTATGGCATTAATATTATTATAATTATTATTATTATTATAATTATTAATATTATTATAATTATTATTATGATTCCGATAATCAAGGCCGCATGTCCAGATACATGATGGAACTTAAGTCCTTTTAAATCATGATGACCTTCTTTTAACAATTTTAATTCGTTTCTTAACTTATCCATTTCTTCTGTTTGGTTAATTAATGGTACTGTTAATGGATTCAAAACAATTTTTGGTATTTTGCTTATATTACTTATATAAAATGATGAAATTGGCTCGTAGCTTTCTGTTGGAATACTGTGATGAGGTACTAGTATTTTATCATCGGTTCGCACAGTACAACCATGTATTATTGTTAAAATTCCTTGTTGCGGAAGATCTATTAGTTCTTGATTTGAGTTACTACATTGAAATCTAGCATTAGTGTTTACTGGAACTTTGAAGAGCCAACTACCCTGTCTTTCTAATTCGACCCAAAATGACCATGTCTCTGCTATCTTCCTATAAACGCAATTTGAATTACCTTTTACTACTACGAGTACTTCTGTTCTCTTTTGGAGTCATTCCTGAGTCTTGCTCTTCTGACTCGATTCCAGCTAATGGACAAATTCTAGTTATAGGTCGTTTTATCAACCCGTCTTTATGTTTTATAGTTACTACTCTGACTCTATCGTCCCTACCTTTATGTATTTCTTCTATTTTTCCCAAGGGCCATCTAGCTGGGTGACAGGTTTCATCTTTTATTAATACAATCTGTCCTGTTTTAATATTCTGCATTCCTATTTTCCATTTATTTCTTTGCTGCAGTGTGTGCAAATAATCTTCTTTCCATTTAATCCAAAATTCTCTTTTCATTTTCTGAATTAATCTCCATCTATCCAGATTCCCGATTTTTTACTCTGAAATTGTCTCAATCGGGCCAAATATTGGCCTTCCAATTATAAAATGACCTGGTGTTAATACATACAGATCGTCAATATCATTTGTAGCTGTATACAAAGGGCGTGAATTTAGTACCGCTTCAATTTGACATAATAGAGTTGCCATTCCCTCATAGGTCAAATTATTGTCCCCGATTAAGATCAATAAGTGATATATCACTAATTTTATCCCCAGCTTCCCAAATACCTCCGAAGTGAGGTCCTGTCGCGGGAATAAAATGCCACTCGATCTGTTCTCTTTCTAATATTGGAACCACTTTTATGTTGTCTTTGGCTTTTTGGTATTCCTCGTCTAATTTGCGCGAAGCTCCCACAAAGTTGGTTCCATTATCGAAAAATTTTTTTGCACATTTTCCTCTTCTTGAAAAAAAATCTTCTAAGTGCAGCTAGAAATGCATCTGAAGTAAGATCGCTGACTACTTCCAAATGAATAGCCTTTGTCGCCATGCATACGAATACGGCAATATATCCCTTATAGGATTTCTGCCCCCGGTTTTAGAGCATCGGATATGGTAAGGCCCGGCGAAGTCTACACCTGTATTTGTAAACGGGTGCGACATTGTAGCTCTGTGTTTCGGCAGATTTCCCATAATTTGTTCTGCAGTATTCTGTCGATACCTAGCACAGGTGACACACTCTTTAAGTTTTTTCTTTAAGCAATTTCTTAGCCCAAATATCCAAAACTTTCGCTGGATATAGTTTCGCATCAGATTAATTCCACCGTGCAATGTTTCTTTATGTGCATTCTTGATAAATAAAGAATCAAGTGACACTTATTTCAAATCAATGGATGTTTAACCTCAAATACCGCATTGGAGTTTTGCAATGTACCTCCAACAAGTAACAATCCGTCTTTATCTAAGAACGGATTTAAGCTTAATAGTTTATTTTTTGTTTCTATTTCCTTTTTATTAATTAGGCTTGCTATTTCGGAACTGAATTGTATAGCATGTTGTTGTTTTACTATTAATACTTTGGCGCTCTTAAACTCCTTCACTGTCAAAAATGGAGGAAATTCTTTCTTTTTGGGTTTGATTTGAATAAACCTCAATACATATGCAATGACTCTAGTTTATGCATACACGAATATTTTTGTAATAATTCACAAAAAATGTTATTTTTTGCTATTACCATTTTTGTGCTAACTACTATTTTTTCTTCAATTTCCTCTTTTGGCCAATGTTCCTTAGATTTCGGCAACCATTGAGGCCCTTTCCACCAAATCTTAAAATCTTTTAGCTTATCTGCACTAATGCCCCTTGATGCTACATCTGCTGGATTGTCTTCAGTTCTAACGTGTTCCCATTTAATTTCCTTAATCTTTCTTACTTCGTCAGTTCGACGCCTGATAAACTTGTCTTTATTGTCTCCATTCTTAATCCAGGCTAGAGTAATAGTAGAATCACTCCAGGCATAACACTCTACATTACTTCCAACCGCTACTTTCACCCGTTGAATTAATTTTGCCAGAAGACGTGCTGCACAAAGTTCTAATTTTGGAATAGTTTTCCGATTCTTCTTTGGATTAACTTTGCTTTTGCTGGCTATTATAATTGTAGAACTATCTACCTTGGCATACACTACGGCAGCATAAGCCTTTTCGGATGCATCGGCAAACCCATGAATTTGCATCGACTTATTGTGCTGAGAATTTAGCCATCTCGGTATCCGAATGCTCTCTAACTCTGTTAAACTTTTTTAAACGAATTCCATTCCCGAGTATCCTGTTCTGATAATTCTTCATCCCAATTTTTGTCTGCTAGCCAAAGTTTTTGAATAAACAATTTTCCGACAAGTGTCACTGGAGACAACCAGCCTAAGGGGTGATATATCTTGGCTAAGGTAGATAATACTATTCTTTTGTTATTAAAAAACTCGTCTTTAACCGGTTCCCATTGTAGTCCTAATGTTTTGACGGATTCATTCTCCTCAATGGTTAATACTTTATTTTGTTGGTCATCTCTAATGCCTTCTATAATTTCTGGGATATTTGTTATCCACTTTCTTAAGTTAAACCCAACCTTATTAAACTCCCGGGTAACTTCCTTTACATGCTTTTTAGCATCCAGTATCGTGTCGGCACCTGTCATCAGGTCGTCCATATAAAAATCATTCTTTATGATTTCCCTAATTGCTTGATTTTTGCAATTATCTGCTATTGCAACCCTGGTTGCTAAGTAGGGTGCTGAAGCTGTACCGTACGTAACGGTTGTAAGTTTATAATCTTTAAACTTTTCGTTTGGATTATCTCTCCAAATTATATGCAAATATTGTTGATCGTCTTTATTAACATTAATTTGCCGGTACATTTTTTCAATGTCCGCCGATATTACAAATGGCCATTTACGCCATTTCACCATAATATCGAAGATATCTTTTTGGACCCTTGGTCCAACCCACATGATATCATTTAAACTTTTATTGTTTGTGGTTTTTGCTGAAGCATCGAAAACCACCCTCAGCTTTGTCGCTATACTGGAATACTTATGACTCCCTTATAAGGTAAATAATATTTCCAATCTTCTTTGGACTCTACCATATGTCCTAAGTTTTTATATTCATGCATGAACTTTATAAAATTTTCTTTTAATGTTTTATTATTGCTGAGCTTTCTTTCTAAACTATAAAATCGCGCTATAGCTTGGGGTTTTGAATCTCCCAGATCCTTTTTTTTTTAAATGGTATTTTAACCACATACCTACCATTCTCATCTCCTCTTGTTGTTTCCAAGAAATGCTCCTCGCACACATCTTCTTCTACGTCATTCTTTTCACTTTCCAATTCCCAGAACCGCTCTAAGTCCCCAACTTCAATTGTTGTCGCCACAATAAATTTATCACCTTTTGATTTGGTGCAACCGGATATAATCCATCCGAATT